TCTGAATAACACCAGCCAAGGTTGTATTGTGCTGAGGCATGTCCTTGTACAGCTGCTTTTTTATACAATTCAACTGCTTTCTTTTCATTTTTGTCAACCCCAGTACCATACTGATAACAGTAGCCAAGATTACATTGTGCATAAGAATACCCTTGATTAACAGCTTTTATATAAAGCTCAACTGCCATTTGCATATTTTTTTCCACACCAAATCCATTCTGATAGCAACGACCAAGATTATTTTGAGCAATAACATCTCCTTGCCTGGCAGCTTTTTTATACATTTCAACTGCTTTTTCTTCATTTTTTTCCATTCCAGTTTTATGTTCATAATACCAACCTAAATTATTTTGAGCAGAAGAATTTCCTTGTTTAGCTGCTCTTTTATACAATTCTATTGCTTTTTGCTCATCTTTTTCTATCCCAATTCCATTTTCATAACACCAACCAAGGTTGTTTTGTGCATTAGCATCTCCTTGTTCAGCTGCCTTTTTATATAGTTCTACTGCCATTTGTTCATCTTTATCTATTCCAATTCCATGTTGATAACAATGACCAAGATTAGTCTGTGCAGAAGCATGTTTTTGTTCAACTGCTTTTTTATAAAATTCTAATGCCTTTTGATTGCCCTTTTCTATTCCAACCCCTTCTGAATAACACCAGCCAAGGTTGTATTGTGCTGAGGCATGTCCTTGTACAGCTGCTTTTTTATACAATTCAACTGCCTTCTGTTCATTTTTTTCCACTCCAGTTCCATTTCCATAACACCAACCAAGGTTGACTTGTGCCAGAGCATTTCCTTGTTCAACAGCTTTTTTATACAATTCAACAGCCTTTTGTTCATCTTTTTCTATCCCAATTCCATTTTTGTAACACCAACCAAGGTTGTTTTGTGCCATATCATTTCCTTGTTCAACAGCTTTTTTATATAATTCCACTGCCATTTGTTCATCTTTATCTATTCCAATTCCATGTTGATAACAATGGCCAAGATTAGTTTGTGCAGAAGCATTTCCTTGTTCAACAGCTTTTTTATATAATTCCACTGCCATTTGTTCATCTTTTTCTACCCCAATTCCATTTTCATAACACCAACCAAAGTTGTTTTGTGCCATAGAATGTCCATGTTTGACTGCTTCTCTATACAGGTTAACCGCTTTTTGCTCATCTTTTTCAACTCCGATTCCTTTTTGGTAGCGATAACCAAGATTGCATTGTGCGTCATAATCAGAGGCTTCTTTGAACGAAGACATATTGATCGTACTATCGATATCACCTAATTCAACTACTATCCCGTATGTTTCTAGCTAGAATAAATGTCTTCAATTTGGTACAGTCTTGTTAATGTAAATAATGAAGGGTCGGAATGTCTTATTGCTGCTGCGTAATCGACTTTGTGATACGAGACACACGAATTTGTGCTAATTGATTTGTAATCACCGGGGGTACATTCGAAATTCTTTATTTGTACAAAAATGACATAGTAAAACAGATACCTCGCAAAACTGATGATATTTGTTTTATTTTGAGAATGAAAAAACGCTGCAAGGTTAGTGTTTTTAGGCATTAAACAACTCGAAAACTGATTACTGACTATTAAAAACTAAACTAAAACGAATTGCAAAGTACACTCACTGGCCAAAAATCTGCATTGCTCGTATTTATTATGTAAGTACATAATGAAACTCGATAAGTCCCTCTGCACTTTTCTTTTTTTTTTTTTATATTAAAATTATTTCAATAAGTCGGATTTCCTGATAAGTCGGACAGCCCTGCCGCCCCACCGTGTCCGACTTATCGAGTTTCACTACGTAACAATAAATTTTGTATCGATTTTAAACGAGTAATATTCGAAAAAATAATAATAACACATTTAAATCTACTATCGTTATAATGCTGCAGTTCAATGAAGTGGCAGTAATAGTTACACGTACATTTTTCGTATGATTATATATGTGTGGCTTACATATCACTACTTTACCAGTGCTACGTAATTACGGGTAGTTGTTTAAATTCGACAGTATGTTTTCTGAAAGTACAGTCAATAGCTTCAGAATGATACAAAAATAGTGTTATTTGGGTAATAGATACAGCCGAGGGCGATTTTCGAAAATATTGGTCGACAGATTTCGGCAAATACTTTTGGCCAGTGAGTGTATATGGAAAACAAGATTAAAAGAAGACAATCCCACTAATCAACAAATAAAGGAAAAATTAGATCAAATCCGTAATGAAAAAGGGTATACGGATAACCCATTCGGTTCTTTTTTGCCGTAACTGATCACCTTTAACAAAATTTTCTAAATTAAAAGAACAAATTACTATATTAGAAATATTTATAAAAAAGAAACAAAAAAAAAATAGTTGAACAATTAATACATATAACCTAACGAAAGTCAAAATTTAACTGAGAATTTGAAAAATATAATTATTTTTCGGAAAGAAAAAGAGACACCCTTAAGAGGCCTTAGTAATTTAAGATACTTAACATTGAAGATACCGACACAGAAATGGGGGAGAAGAACTCAAAGGTAAAAAAATAAAACAAATTAGGTAATAAAAGGAGAATTAGCAGTAATTTAGAAAAAGGCAAGCAAGTTTTTAATCGAATTACTGAGACAATTTCTAATTAATTTTTACCGGATAAATCAAACAGTTGTGGTATCGCATTTTAAAATAAATACGTTATTCATTATGACAAGTATGAACTATTGAAACGTTAATGTCGTAACACAAAATTAAATAATTTTAAAAAGTGATTAGAAAAAAAAAACTAACTCTCCGCCACTACAACAATTAATACGAGTACAATCACTTCACATTTTGCTTAGCATAGGTCATCGTTTCGTGGTAAAAGAAGCAAAGTAAATCATTGTAGTTAATGATGCTAATCAAGACAGGTGAAAGAGATAATAAGTATTACCATGCAGGTGTGTGTACTTAGGCAAAGGAAAATTGCTCATAACATGCCTAGCGGCCTCATCATTTAGATAATTATTTTAACATTTATCACGTTGTCCTACATATTAATATGCAGAATTTAAATTGCAATTCATGCTTATTGCTATACTTAATTCTCATAACCCACCTCATTTCACGGTTTAATAAAGGTTTCGATGTTTTTATTACAATGATACATACGCTAAATTTGCAAAGTAACACTGCCGCTGATGAGACAAAAGATCAAGAATAGCAGTTATACTTTTGTTGTTATAATCCATTTCGGGTTTGACGCGTTGGATCAAAAATTATTGACCATTTTACCAAATTTGTGATAATATATAATAATAAAGTGAGTAAAGCACACTGTTTCCCCCCTCCTGCTGTCACTAATAATGTTTTTGTTTGCTGAAGCAAGTGTTTCTGAAATTACCAATAACTTAAATCTCTTTTTATCTTAGGACTTAACTACTCCTCGTCCTCCTCCGGATTACAGAAGAATACTTTTATAATATCATTTGCCCATTTGTTAGAGATAATTCAATACTTAGAATAACTTACGTCCCATGATGTTTACCAAATCATTGAGTTAATTTTTCAATGAACATTATTAGTCTACTTTTGAAGGTATAGCAGGTTTAGATAATTTCCTGTAACTGTTATTTAAAAAATACTTCAACACGATCATGTTGTTGATACAATATCAACGCGCCTTTAAAAAAAATGAGTGTCAGTTGTCTCTACACGATTATCGCAACTATCTACGTATAAGTCCTTCTGACTTGAGATTAAACTGAGTCATAATTTGTTAAAACTAAGTCATTAGTGTATATGCGTTTCAATGTAAGACATATTGCTTATGGACGACACGGGAAATTTAGCGGACGACTACAAAGCTTTATGCGCAGTGAATACCCTGCGAATGGATTACGCTGTTACTGTGTTGGAAGTTGAAGTATGAGAGCGCTGCATGATAAACCAATAAGAATAGATCGACATGCACATCACTTAAAGATTGGCAGAACTATGAAATTTTATTCAGGGGATCTTTATAAATAATTAGAATAGATAATCATTTCATATTACTACGCGAATTGTAATATTATTTTCGCTAAGCGTACACACGATTCGAGTGCATTTCATCATTACTTGCTCATCAACGAATTTATTGTCTTGTTTATCTGCTAGAATCCTTCCCGCTGACGTTGAAGAGCCAATTGGAATCTCTCAAGTCCCGCAATAAGTAATTCAACACTGGCTTGTCCATTCCTATTGGGAAGTCTGAAATCTTCGCCAGCCTGTTGAAGAAGTCTCCCCAACGTATTTTGTAACAGTTGGACGTTTTCAACAGTTCTTCCGCAGATAACTGCAACTTCCTTCAATTGATTGACCAAGACCACTATGCCAACCGTCCCAGAGATCCCTAATACGTGGGCGATTTTCTGCGGGCGTGATATGTACGTATGTCAGTAGAAGTTTATATGACAATCCGCAGAGTGAGACAGTGTCAATTTGGTGACTAAGTTGTTTGCACGTCCTTACCATTTCCCAACCGAATGTTTGCCATCCTTTATATAAAGACGTTACAAATTTACCGGCAGCACTACAATTTATTCAATAAAAGTATGTAATGAGTATAGTTCATCATGAATACGCCTTAACAGTCCCATTGTTGTCATGGCTTACAATACGGCGGCGAGTTCCACCAGCGATCCAAGAATTTCAAATGTTTCTTGTCGTTCAACAAATTTCTTCATAGATTTCTCTGTTTGTTTCAACTGAGCGTCCAGTTCATTGAAGCAACGGATAACTCTTTCAAAGATTTCTAGTACGAATAAAACAAAGATTATCAGTATTGATCGAAAAAATAAAATATACGATTGTTAAATGACCCACCTAACGCTCGGTCCACGTAATCCTCGGGATTCCGATGCCTCAGCACATCTAGCAGCTCTGTTATTGCATTATTAAGGGCTTCTATTTTAGGTATCAGAGTCGCACCTATATCCCCAAACACAAGCCGGAAGGTTGCATTTCCAACCGCGATTCTGATGGCGGAAATGGCATCACATAGTTTCAACGCAGAATTAGCTGCTACTTGAAAGCGATACCAGAGAACTGCACTAAGCTAATGTACAGTCAAATGATAGAAATAAAAATACACGTAAATAATTATGTGGGGGAAAATAGCTTTAAGTCAAACAAACAAACAAACAATTACGTACAGGATCCAAACATTTTGCTTTCACAACTTTAATTAATGCATTCAAATTCTTGATGCAGTGCTCAAAAGAAGATCTATCCGAACTCCAGATGACACCATAACACCCTTGACCGTGATCTCTAATATCGACATATCTTGCTCCGGGAGAAAGTGTCCTCAATATCAATGGATCCGTTACAAGTTGTCCAGCACTGCCTTGCTCACTGCTGTCCACCTCAACAGAAAGTATTCGATCTACTAGTTCTCTCTCCTCAACTGATTCTTCATGAGAGTCATTATCCGTATCGCTTGGCAGCATCATGCACATTAACTCGACGGTGAGAGAATCGGTTGGGCACCAGTCATCAAATCCATTGTGACTCAGTCTGATCAATTCGGGTGAGTTACGCAGACGAGACACAATAGATGAACGCATGTCGTTGTCGCGAAAGCATATCTTAATCTGTGATTCATACCGTAATCGAACAGTGAATATTCGTGATGTAAAGTGTGCGTCCAATAACTGGATGTCTATCTACTTACGCGAGCGCTTGCCCCATCATATGCACTGATTTCGAAGTTAACGTTCGTGTCCGATAGTATTTGTCTAAGGGTGATTTCATCAGGCGGGCTCTATTTACAGCATAAGCATACGTGTAGGGAAAAATCAATAGTTTAGATGTTCACGTAAAGTTAAAGAGTCCTGTCAAGATTATCAGATAACGTTCTGCTTTATTCACTCTTTGTAAAACTCACACGTAAGTTCGTCACTTGAAATAATGCCCAGTTGTCTGCACTATCATCTTCTATGTTGTTTAGTTGTACATCATAAATGACGTTGCCATTAGAGATGGCCACAGGATAATATTCTAGAGGAAGGTTGTCGAGCTGAGTCATGTTACGGAACAGACCTTGTAGCGATATAAGTAGATCATTATATATTTATCAGATCATCGTGATAAGGAAAGCAATATATTGACAATTCCGCAGTATAATAAAACAAACGCTCTAAGCGAGCAACGTGCAGGTCATGAGATCACCAGTGTTACTCTTACATTAACAAAGTGGTTCCGACAGGATGGAATACAAGGCTTGATGTATGAACTTTCTGCCGAGAAAACCTTTACGGAATATATTGAGACAATCGTTTGATAGATTTCCCTCATTTCCCTCATTTCCCAGGCCTTCCAGCTTTATCCCCGACACGAATCGATGTAATAGCAATGACCATATTAATACAGAAGCAGGTTTCAGATTACCCCCTTGTCGGAATATTTTTTCCGACCAAATAACCCGAAATAAAGAGTAGAACATTCAAACCATATGAACGCAATAAGCTTAAAATGTCAAAATTACGTGTAACATTGCTGGAATAGTCTGAGCGTGCAGATCGCTAGGGTTGGATCTTTTTTTTTTCTTCCAGAACCTTTTATTATATACCTATTTTATTATCATCAACTATTAAGCTTTTGTACTTTGCAATGGGAAATAGCGACCTCGATAGGTTTGTCTTTCTCAACAGATATTGAACGCTGCGAGTATTACCTGAACGTTCGAATTAATCAAAACCAATCAATTTTGTCAAGGCAAATCGAAAAAATCCGGAATTGCGAGCTTATTACCGAAGGAGAAGTTAGACGTTTGTGTGCAAAAGCTTACGAAATATTAATAGAAGAATCGAACGTACAGCGAGTCGATGCACCAGTGACGGTAAATTCTGTGAAATGCATTTTCTGTTTCTATGGTTTGATGTCTATACTTTGATTTGGCTCAAATGTCTGGTTTTTTTTTTCTGTCGAGTAAAGATATGCGGCGACATACATGGTCAATTTTACGATTTGATGGAACTGTTTAGGGTTGGTGATGATTGTCCCAAGACCAATTACTTGTTTCTAGGTAAATCGGTCGCTTTTTGAATTTATGAATTGAAAAAATTCCCATTACCTAAGATACTTTCCAAATCTCTTTTTCAGGTGATTTTGTTGATCGTGGTTACTATAGCGTCGAGACGTTCTTTTTATTGCTTGCGCTCAAGGTTTTGTCGTACTCATTTTCTCCCCTCATAACAGTTCGATTTGTTATCTAATCAATGCTTCGTTGATTCCATTAACTAAGGTGAGATATCCCGATAGAATCACTCTTATAAGAGGCAACCATGAGTCTCGACAAATTACTCAAGTCTATGGATTTTATGATGAATGTGTTCGTAAATATGGAACAGCCGATGTATGGAATCTCTGCTGCGATATATTTGATCTCATCAGTTTGGCTGCCATAATTGACGATAGAATATTCTGTGTGCATGGTGGACTATCTCCGACTATTCAAGTACTCGATCAGGTATAATTTCATCTGTGAGAACTATTTGCGGTGAAAACTAATAATATGAAATAGCATATGGGGTAAATTGATAACCAAGACTATATGATACAAGGTTCCGTACACTATAGCTAATTCGCCTGTGATTATTCACTTTGTGCGATTAAGATTAAAAATCTTGACAGAATGCAGGAAGTTCCACACGACGGACCTATGTGTGATTTGCTCTGGTCTGATCCTTATGGTTTGTGGATATGTATTAAAATACTTACGTCCATATTAAATACACTAATGTACACAATCATACATAGATTCTTCAGATATGGATGGATGGAGCCTGAGTCCCCGTGGAGCTGGTTTTCTCTTTGGAGGGGACGTTGTCGCATCGGTAATCCTTGGGTTGTGTCGGCTTGATCAGTTGCCTTTTTATTTTTCCTTCAACGAATTAACCCCGTCTTTAATATATTACTAGTTTTTACATATGAATGATTTGGAGCTAATAGCAAGGGCACATCAGCTTGTAATGGAAGGTTACAAATTGATGTTTGGCGAGACACTGGTGACAGTATGGTCAGCCCCAAATTACTGTTATAGGTAAGGAACAGAGATAATTGATATACTGTTGATGCATAATTACTAACCTTTCTGACAATACATCTATTTGCAACATTAGATGTGGCAATGTTGCAGCGATACTAGAATTAGACGATCAACTAAACCAAACTTACAAAATTTTCGATGCAGCAACGGAGGTTTGTTCCTTAATGATTCGACATGTTCATTCGGGTGTGTTACGATTACCTGTTACTGACCATACATTACGCATATAATCTTATCTCAACAAGGAAAATCGAGTTCCGGTGAAAAGTATTCTTCCCGATTATTTCTTATAGCAAGTGTAACAAGTCAACTGACTATCGAGCTGTCTGTAAATAATACTGTAAGAGCTTGCTTTGTCGACGCTCGATAATTCTTAGAATTTTGGAAACTAGATGTGTGCACTAAAATTAATAATACACGTAACGTATTTAACATGGATGGGAGTCCTGTATTGGGTGGACTTCTTTATGATCTTCTCTTGTATTCCGGCAGTGAACCATCTTCGACACTCGTATAATTGGTTCTCCTACTGTTAAGTGAACGATTATGATATGATTAGTAAACGATTACAATTCGCATTATCGCGGAATTAACAACTTGTTTATCCAATCATAAATGCTACGTTTTCAACACAGTCAATATGTTTTCAGTGGATTGACAGATTGAATTTAAGTTGTAATCATCTTGGTAGAAAATGCGAATCGAAAATTAATTGATAGGCGGAGCCAACACACCTGTGATAATTAAGATTAAGTTTCAAAACTTCCAATCGCCCAAGAAAACTCATTTACGAGAATACGTCCAAACCTTTATTTTTTTTCTGAGGCTTGTGATGAAATTCCCATTAACCAATGAAATACCAATAATTTGTGCAACTACGTCGATGTCGTGACGACATCATAAAGTATCACAGTAGTAGTAGCTAAATATATTGCGTCAATATTTCCTTGTGACGTCTATTCCAATTTTTTCCGCTATGATTGTGTCATCATTTCTAGCCACGCTGTTACATTTGGTCACCCGAAAGAATGTTCAAACGAACGTTCTCCAATTGCTAAGATGTAAATTTACCCTCGAATGTCATGCTAAGATATTAATATCTTAATCTAATCAGATAAATATAACCGAACAATTCTTTCATGTCTGGTCTGATACTCCAGCGGTCCGCTTAGCTACAACTAGATATTATTCTAACTTTCGTAAGCCAGCCTGTGGTCCCAACATTAAAAATTCGACGCGACTAATTGAAGAATTCTTATACTCATTCTCAACGAATGAGTCTAATTAAAAACGTAATAGTAAATTTAATTAATTTTACTACTGTATGCGTTTGAGATAAAAGCATGAAGCTTATATAATGAAATTCATATCACTATTCGAACCCGTCACTTTTGTATTCCATTTCTCTCTCAGACGGCTACTCGCGAATTATCACTGTTTATGATCAAATGATCAAGTTGGTGTTCGAAATCTTAAGTCATACAAATGAGTCATGAAATACACGCGTTTCACCAACTTGTCACCCGATCCAAAATACTCGGGGTGGAATTTCACAGACCAAATAAAAGTTTGTCATTATTATAGTTTTTTAAAGTGCGTTTTCGATAATATTGGTGTTAGCAGTGAGAAATTCAGGAACAGGGGTTGGGTCAGATTGCCAAGGCAAACCATCAAACTATAGTAATAGTTAAACCATCAACAAATGTTGCCAATGCAAGATTTTCATTTCAGGAAATTGAAATGTACACAGAGATGCAGCAATTTAATATTAACAGGACAGAGATGTAATACAGAGTCACATTACTGCAACAATTACCCACAGCCTCCTGGACTGGTATCTGTCTCGTTTTGTAATGGCCCTAATAAGTCAGCATCTATGGATTTCAACACTGAGGTAGATATTGCTGGCCTGTTCTGAACACCCAAGAAGTTCTTTGTGTACAGTTTATGTGAGGACTCATTTGCTCAGTGGTTACTTATTTTATACTTGCAGTTGGACACACAGCCTCAGGCCTCTACATCTGGAGCATCTGTCACCATTGGTCCATTTACATTGTTTTGCCTTGTTCATGGTGGCAGCCTTGAAAATGCATTTCCAGTCAAGACTGACAAGAATGCAACCATTGGAGAGTTCAAGAATGCCATAAAAGCAATGAAGTCAAATGAATTTGGTGACATTGATGCTGACAAACTCATGTTGTGGAAAGTGAGTATTCCCACACATGAAGAGACAGTTTGAACTACTCAGTGAAGCAGATATTGAGGATTTAGGGGGTGTGAAGATAATAGATCCAACAGCAGAAATTGGTGAGGAATTTGGTGCACTACCCCCCAAGAGGCATATCCATGTCATTGTCACATGCCCACCTCATAAGTAGTATGACATTGTTATTGGTTAATTCTTAGCCACTCACTTATTATTTTGATGTTGACTAATTCACATGCTCTGCTTGCTTTATTCATTGCCATCATTAGATACAAACTCAAAAATAAAAATTGACAACTTCATAATAATAATATCTAACTCAGTAATGGCACAAGCCACTCACCCATCAGACTTTAATATGAATCAGGGTGTCAGAAACAGAGCTCTTTATGATGTAATTTTAGAGTGGGCAAAGCTTTCTACGGCCTCCTGATTTTGACAACAACTATTGGTGACATAGAAGCATGTCAACTTTTGGGTGTGGGGCAGATACTTAATACTGTAATTTTTGAAGGATGCACTACAAGCAATGTGCCAGTGGTCATCAAGTATAGTCTTCATGACCCTCCTCTCCAACGTGAAGCAGAAACATTAAAGATACTAATACTTAATGATGTTATGGACATTCTGAAGTTGCTGTATGAAAACTTAATGGATGATCCCCTATATACATGGGTGGTTCAAAAAGTTTTGACACAGAGGCTATCAAAATTTTATTTACATAATAAACATCAATCTAACTATTCTATTCTTTCAAAATATAAATACTCTCTTTTAACTTCCATACAATGTCTCAGCCCTTTATGCTGACTCTGAAAATATTCAGCATACTCTTCTTGTGGTATGCTGTTAGTCTTTAAATTTATAACATAGCTGAACATTTGAATCCTCTCAAACCTTTTTTCACCAAGTTTTTTTTTTATTTTAGAAATAAAAAAAAAGTTACATGATACCAGATTAGGACTATGTATAGTAGGGAGAAATATGACTTGTTCTCCCTGAAAGTACTTAGTGACAATTTTTGACCCGTGTGGCGCAGCATATAGGCATATGAGTGGGTTCCATTTAAACATGCTTTTTTTACAGGGATTTCATAATGTAAAGTTGCTTTATACTTCTCAATTGGGATAGAAATAACTCCCTGAACGTTATCAATGCTGATATAGATATGGGGGTCATGATGTATAAGATCTTCAACGATATTAACATTCAAAAACGTAACAGCTTTGCGAGGACGTCTAGAATAGTGTGCATCTTTGGTCTTGATTGCCCGGCTTCCAATGCTTATGTTTAAACAGTGCTTTAATCCCTTCAGCAATGACTAACTCTTTGTGAATGTCGTCCGCCCCTTTACCCCCGTTTTCCAGCAAACCCAGGTATAGTTATAGTATCGTTGATTTTTACAGTAAAATTTTTCACAGTTTTCAGTAGACAAATTTCAAAAAAAATTTCTCAATAACCATCAAATTAAAATGGGTCAAATTTTTTATGTTTAATCAAGTATGACTCAAGCTTTAATATAAATATTTATAAAGCTGAGACGATCAGTAATTGCTGAAATATGTACACTGTGTCAAAACTTTTTGAACTACCCATGTAGTCACCAGTATGGTGGGCCAAGTCTCCAAGGTCAATGCACAGGTCATCTGCAATATCATTATTGACATCCTCAGTATTCTGAAGAACCTTCATGGTCACAATTATATTCACAATGACATCCACCCCAGTAACATTGTGAATGTTGATGGTAAATACTGGTTGATTGACTTTGACCATGCTGTTCCACAACCAGACAAGAAAGAGACTGCTCCTGACAATTGGCCAAAAGGTCACATTGTGTTTGCATCTCACAATCAGGACAAGTATCCTGGAGCCAGAGATGACCTAGAAGCACTTTGTTATACAGTCACCTTCATGCATTATCAAGACAAGGAATATTGGCACACTGCCATTCAGGACCCATTCAAGGCCTTGCATGAAAGAAAAAAAAAGCTCTTCTATCTCTTTGATGATCTTCCACAGGTCTTTAAGGATTTCTATGACTGTGTCTATGACCTGGACATCAATGCAATTATGGATTATGAGTATTGGCAGACTCCATTCATGCATATTGCTAATGATTTAGTCTCTTTACCTCAAAAACACCCCTTCTCAACCACACTGGCAAGTCCAGAAAGGGAACATAATCAACTTTAACCTTGAATGCTTACATAGTAATAGTAGATTAAATGGTATCACAACTTGCTCATATTAGCTCTTAATGCATAATCAACCTTTTTAGCATTGTTTATATAATATAAATAAAAAGATATTAAAGACATCTCTATGCAACAATATGAATACAATTCTCTATTCCGATTTTCTTTTTTGCCCCTAGTTTCTTGAACTAGTTTTGCCAACGTCCATTTGAGAGATTTTTCTGACATTTCCTCTTGGTAAACTTGATAATAATAAGTTACCTTTTCTTGGTCCAGATGTTCTTTAATAGCCTGGGTATTTCTCATTTTGAAAATGTAAGGAGACCCCGGAAGGAAATTCGCTCTTCAACTTGGTAAAATACAAAAAGTTGATTTTCTGATTATTGAGTGATCATTGTGACGTCAAACGCGCGGTAATATGCGTCAAGTGGCCTTAACAAAACACTTGGTTATTGGTTACATGCGATATCGTCAACTTTCCGGGGAAAGTGGCGCGGTTACGATAGCTACATCTCGATAAACTTGATAAAAGACGGTTCGAGAACGGATAATAATAACTTTTATAACTAAAATACGTCAAATCATATTCAAATAACTTCCGTTCGCAAATGTCTGTCAACCAGTTGCAGTAAGAACCCATGGTCAACCTCGCAACAGGATAACAAGTTGTTCAAACGGAGTTTTAATCATTATATTACAAATAAGTTTCAATTTAAATATTCATTACTCGAAAAAACACATCCACATCCGGAGACATTTCTCGCTCGATATGTCGTCTTATCTCCAAAAAAGAAAGCTTCTTCCCGTAATCTACTCAAAACGAACATCTTTCCTTATCTACGCTCCTGCCATTCTCCAGATTCACCACACGCTCTCAGAAAACTCGAACTGTGGCACGTTACTATTACAGTAACGGCTTCGGTTTTCAATAACCATAAACAGCATGGATAGTACTGGCATTATTGGTGCCGCTTGGAGAATGTCCTTAACAGTCTATGCAAAGAGAGAAAATGAAGGGAGATGTGAATGTAAAGTGGAAAGGAAATATATATGGGCTGACGTTGGAAGTATTCATAATCGATACTGTGATGGACATCGGCAAAAAGGAAAAAGGATTTAGTAAGTATTAATAATAAGCGAAAGTTTGAATAAAGACCTTTTCTATTGATACCAACTTCGTATCTTCCCACTAATGCTGGGACTAACAAATGTGCATCAAAAGAAGACAAAATCATTCCAAAAGCGTATTAACATTGCAAACCGAATCCCAACACAAATGGAATGAAAGGAACGAATAAACTAATTTTAATAGCCTTCAATCAGATGTCCCTCTGAAAGTTTTCTTGATATTATCAATCAAATATAAGACTCCAACCTCAGTCCTCAACCAATCCATGCTTTCTCTGCTTCTCTTCTCGTTTACTCTCGGTTGCTTCCAAATCCTCGGCTTCAAGCAAATAATCGATATCTCCTACCCTCCATTGCCATACGCCCTCGGTTGGAGCTTTCCTTGTAACAAAACCAGTTTCTTTATCCACCACAGGGGCAAACCCTTCAGTAATATTGATAGCGGGCTCGAAATAAGGCGTTTCAAATCTAATAACCATTGTCCTTCTCGTCTGATCATCGATTGCATACACATCGTCTTTGGTTTTCAATTTGTATACTACATCTGCATCTATCTCAACGTCTACTTTCGCTTGCACACCTTCCATCATAGTTTTGTACACGGCAAGAGGGCCGGCCTTGCGCAACAGGGACGAGATAGGCTCATCCGAAGTATTATTACTTGGAATGCGGACGGCTTCGTTTATGGTCATCCATTGACCAACTGCGAATTCACGAGAAGATTTCGAAAATGCAATGCGTGGACCGAGATATAGCCAGACATCACGAATACGCGCGTCGTAGACGTTGGGAACGGATAAATTCACAGATGAGCCTTCTTTGGCAAGCTTCTCTAATTCGAGCGCATAACGATCGTACAATCGTGTCGTCAGAGTGGATGAGAGATGGGATAGATCACATGGAGTGCTCAATGACAAGCAGACTTGATTCGTAGCTAGGACAGCTTTTGGATAAATGGGGTGAGAGTATGGTGATATGGATATATGATTTGAGAATTAGAATAAAACGTGCAGAAACAGTCCGAACTATAATAAATGAAACACCATATATTCACCTCCAAGTAAGAACTGATCAGAGAAATATTCTGAAGATGTAAAGTCTTTCATTGCGTACATAGATAATGCGCGACTGAGTTTATGTTGAATGCTTAACGGTAGTTGCGCAATTATTGGCAACCAAAAATTAGCTTCAGGGTAAGGATAGTTGGTTATTCTTGGCGGGTGGTTTGCATATATCCATGCTGGTAAATTGAAACGCACGAGTCAAGTTTAAAAATTCGCTCGCATTTATTATTAAATAGACTCTTCGTAATTACTCGCTCATACATTACTATCCTGTCCCCTCACTATGAGTCTCGAAAGAACTTACGAAACAAAATCGACGATCCGGTCTTTGTCAGCCCCGGCAACGATTCAACACCCTTCTCATTCTGTGGTAACGGTGCCGGATCTTGCGGAGGCCCGGGAGGCGGTTCTGTCACAAAGTTCGTACGAGTACGAAGCTGAGGTCGGAGTGGCAATCGCCTTTCTCCAGTTGTTGAGATAAGGCGACCTCGTTGAAAAAGACGGGCAACTAAACGACTCGAAGACTTCATTCTTTTGAATCGGGAAGAAATGCCAAATCGGAAAGCTGAGATATGATAGGATCTGTAAATTGATATATTAATACATAACTGGTAAGGTGTTGTCGCGTTCTAAAGTATTGTAGTATCACACATTTTCTGCGACTCGCTTTTGTTTTCTTTTTATGGAAATTAACCGTATTTATAGCGAGATAATGTCAAACTCACTACAGTCAACTGTCTTTAATTCGACCGCCTCCGTTCCGAAGTCATCGGTCGAATTAACGTATAAGTCGAATTAACGGCAGACCGTACTTAAGGAAAACAATAATAAAAAAAATCGGGTCTTGCCCAAGCGATCGAATTATAGGCGAAATCGAATTATCAGAATGCTATGTTAGGTAATATGGTCGCTTTCCCTTTGAATATTTTGTCATAATCTTTCGCGTCATCTCTACATGTTGTAACGTGTCGCGTTGATAGAAATCTATGGGCAATGTTCGCTCTGTCCGGTTTGTTGCAGCGTTAATATTTTATTTAATAATCTTCTGATGCTCTACGGATATATCATTGAACACGATATCTCATACTTTTGGAGACAATGCGCGTCTGAGTTGGGTAATGCTAAATTGGAAAAGCTTAAAAAGAAATCGTAAAGAAATCGTAAAAGAAACCGTTTAACCTTCCCACAATGAAAGAGCGCGGTATTCCTCTTGTGGAAGTAACTCATTGAGTAATAGCAGGCTTAAAATTGAGCGACCCAAAGTTCATAAATTATCTCAGATAAAAAGAATGTTGTAATCAAAATGACCTCGATATTCACTTGGTCATTTATTTTTAATTAAATAAGCTTTATGTTGCTATGAACAATGAATTAAGAAAAAGCTTTCAATTTGGTATATCTTTTTACAGGAGTATGCAACCGTTAATAAACATATCGTAGTCCCCAATGTATCATATTAAATTCACTTAAAGTTTAAATTCTATAGTATAAATTGGCCGCCAATACCTTCGTTTTTTCCCAGTTGTTCAGAATCTCTCTTTCATTCTCGCAGCAACAGTTCTTAAGCTTGCATATACTTTTCCAGGCGGGCTCCCAAGGATTAGTGAAACAATAGCATCCCTTGCGATCTTTATGTTTTGGAATGATCCAAGAATATGTATTTTCCTGCATGTGAAGAATTAATTACAATTGAATCGTATGAATGCAGTACACATAACCGTTCTTAGGAACAACGACTCACGTGTCAGCCAGTACAACTCTTGTCTTTGATACATTCTCGATTGTGAATTTGACTTTGCCATCTTTCCCTGCTATTCGACCTATTGCGCGGGACAGATGATCGCCGTGGAGAGTTTTTACTAGTCCGATAGATAACAATTTAGTTTCAAAAGTTGTCACGTTCAGTTGCCCATTGCATAAAAGTAATGATGTACCTACCATCTTTGATTTCAAATGTTTCGATATACAGATCATCTAGACGTAAAATGGCCATGGCATCCTGGTTCGTAAAGAAACATATTGTAATTATTGTTGTTGATTAACAACAGGCAATAATTAAAATAAATAGGTTTGAGATATTTACATCAACGTCAAATCCCAAAGTAAATGCTGTCACAAAGTCAGCACCCTTTTGAAGCGCTCCAGTCTCGGTCGTATGTTTTGACGTCTGATAGTTAGAGAAATTGGTTTAAATTAACATTAGCAACAACGTTATCAACTCCAAAAGCCTTAAGGTTATCCCCAGTACTTATATTGTAAACCTGAAAATGTTTAAATGAATCATGTCCCAACTCCTCACCTTTAGTTCGACACATTTGCTTTTTGTGTTCATTCTTACTTGTAGATTCAAATGAGTAACCAATGGCTCATATATCTTTGGCCATGATTTCTTCAATGGAGTGAGACGGTGTGGTGGAATGGGTATTTTACGGTATTGAGGTTTTCCATTCTGATATCAATTAAATAATTGTTACTGCGGAAGCTTCCATTGTGAAAGTAATGTTATAAAATAACTTACGTTCATTTCATTAGCTGCCAATGCGCGGAATTTGGGTATTGCATCGCCTATTATTTCATCTACTGGCATTTCCTCGACTTCATGTTCGCTTTCATTGTGATTATCAATTGTATCCATAACATTGGCGTCGTCATTTCCACCAGTTTTATCGCTTTTCTTTGACGCTTTTACCCGTGTCATTTTGTAATCTGTAAATGACATTGACGAACTTTTTTTTCTTCAAAAAGTGTGTGTAACATATTGTTCTAATGATGTGATTGGTTAGTAATAAGTTGCGACGTTATCACATGATTGCGTATTTTATTGGTTGCAAGGGTTATTCTAATCCGACAATCCCGACGAATAAGCAAAATTTGCACAGCGCGTACTGTAATCACTTTACAATTGCACTTATTTTTTAAATTTCCGGTTTAAGAATTAATTTGTGGCATATTCAGCAAATTTACCAAACGGCAATGTGATTAATTTCGTAATATTAGTATAGAAACCGGCGGAAAATATATCTATTGCAGAAGATATATTCAAGACGTAAATCCGTAGAAAGTCTGCACTACAAAACGCGGATCGTGAAGGTGATGGTTTGTCTAGAAAAAGAAGAATTATTCTTTAAAATAATTAGTATTATGTGTAATATTAGGAAATGGATACTTGACTAATATAACAAAGTTGGATGAATCGGTGGCCTCATCATTAGGCATTGACACTGCACGCTCTCCTCCAGCGTTGCAACAAGTTCTCTGCCAACTCCTGCTTTGTCTCATCCGATTGTATTCGACGGTAGTCATCTAATTTTGAATTTTTTACAGTAGAAAACCAAACGGTAAGTATTTAGAACATATATAATTTATCTACACCAGTTTATAACATACCGGTGTATGGTAGCCAGGAACTGTGTGTACTACAGAAATAAGTTACTGTCCACACGCGATGGGCTAAACATTTGGATGTTACACGTGTCCAAAAAAAATCTTCTATCTTTTAACATTAAACATATCCGATCTATCGGACTTACAATGATGTCCAATTTCGCAAAGAAAGGCTCGGGAGTCGTCAACAGGTTTGCTGGTGAGGTTCAAATGTAAGTTCTAAATGATGTCATGCCTTCTCGTGTTTAAGTATATTTATTTGCTTACAGTAAAATTTTAACCAATTCCAGTCACAAACTTGCCAAAGTAGCAAAATCCCAGTTCCCTCGCTATGCTTCTTCCGGTGAATTGAACAAATATAGTAAGCATATAACCCAACACAAGGCCCAGGGCGCCGCACAAGCAATGTGTAAGTGTGTTTGATAGTAAAGCATAATACAAGACATTTCGGGTAAAAATTACCCAAGGCTTGTGGACATAATGGATTGTGGTGTATGTAGATAATGCGTTTGACTGAAGATCCACATCAGTTGATCATGTTATCGCTAACGATAGACTCGGATCTCAGTATATGCTACAGGATTAAAAGCGGAAGATATGGATAAACCACAAGTTGGTATTGCCAGTGTGTCTGTATATCAATTATAAGATATTGTAAACCCGTATGACGCTATTCCTACATCACTGTTTTTAACGTCCTTTCGAATGTTATAGATGGTATGAAGGTAATCCATGTAATATGCACCTTCTCGAACTAGCGACGAAAGTAAAAGAAGGTATGAAAGCAGCTGGTCTTATTGGCTATCGTTTTAACACCATTGGTGTAAGCGATGGCATAAGTATGGGAACTACAGGTATGCGCTATTCGCTGCAAAGTCGTGATTTGATAGCTGATTCTATTGAGACGGTAAGTAAATCATAAGCCAAAACTAATAAAAAATCGAATTGGAAGGTCAACACTTATCTTATTTATATTTCTGTTCTCAACATAGGTTATGAATGCTCAGTGGTATGACGCAAACATTGCTCTTCCTGGTTGTGATAAAAATATGCCCGGATGCATAATGGCAATGGCAAGACATAACCGACCTTCCATTATGATCTATGGAGGTACGATTCGACCGGGACAGTCCAAATGTGGGCAAGGTGTTTTGGATGTCGTGTCGGCGTTCCAGTCGTATGGCTCTTACATGGCTGGGAAGATAACTGAGGAGCAAAGATACGACATTGTCAGACACGCGTGTCCAGGCCCCGGTGCTTGTGGCGGAATGTATACTGCCAATACAAGTACGCATTGCTTCACGATTAGATTTTTTTTTTGTTTTTTTTTTTTCTTCTTCTTGTTTATACGATCTTAAAACTCAAGAGTCGATGGTTGTATTTTTTACAACAGTGGCGTCTGCTATCGAGGCTATGGGTATGAGTCTACCCTATAGCTCATCAACTCCAGCAGAAGATCCAGCAAAGTTGGATGAATGCCGTAAGGCTGGCGAAGCCATTCGTAATCTTTTGGAAAAGGACATCAAGCCCAGAGACATTATGACGCGAAAAGCCTTTGAAAATGCAATGGTTGTCGTTACGGTGCTGGGCGGGTCGACAAATGCCGTCTTGCACTTGATTGCTATTGCACGGGCTTTAAATGTTGACCTTACGCTAGATGATTTCCAGAAAGTTAGCGATTCCACACCGCTTCTGGCTGATCTCAAACCGAGGCAAGGGACATAAACTTATTTTGAACAATACAGGCCTTGAAGATGACGAAAGGGGAAACCCACATTTTAATTATTACTAATCACAATTATGCGCGTGCTTTTCTCTCAACAGTGGGAAGTATGTGATGGAAGACTTGTGTAAGATTGGCGGTGTCCCTCGTATGTGTTTGTCACGTGTCTACCTAAATCTTTTTGCATTAATAACTGTGTTGTTTGCTAAGCATTTAAATCTGTCCAATTCCACAATAGTCTTATTACGATATCTATTACAAAACGATCTCGTTCATGGAGATACATTGACGGTAACGGGGAAGACGCTTGCAGAAAATCTGGATGATGTCCCAGATCTGACTTTCGATCAGGATATCATCCGACCACTATCGGATCCAATCAAACCCAGCGGACACATCCAGATCCTTCGTGGGAATCTGGCGCCCGAAGGGTCAGTGGCGAAGATTACCGGAAAAGAAGGACTGATATTTGAAGGTGTTGCAAAAGTGTTTGACAGTGAAGAGTTGATGTTGAGTGCGTTCGAGAAGGGAGAGATTAAGAAAGGTCAGGTCATTATTATTCGATATGAGGGCCCCAAAGGTGGACCTGGTATGCCCGAGATGTGTAAGTAGGAATTGCGAAATTAATTGTACGGTGCAGACCGATGATATCATGCCTTTTCTTGACGATGAATATACTTTTGTAAATGATGGTCGCAGTAACACCCACAAGCGCTATTATGGGGGCTGGTCTTGGAAACGATGTCGCACTATTAACGGATGGTCGTTTCTCCGGCGGAAGTCATGTAAGCATGCAGTATCTGCATTATAAAAGCTTTCCCCCGTTTTTATGATTTGGTTTTAATTGTTCACGTCGATTAGGGGTTTATCATCGGTCATATCACTCCCGAGGCACAGGTTGGCGGACCAATTGCGCTTGTTCGTGACGGTGACAGAATATCAATAGATGCCACGAATAAGACTATTAATGTTGATATTACAAAAGAAGAATTTGTAAAGAGACGAGCTGCGTGGAACCCCCCGCCTTACAGAGCAACTCAAGGCACATTGTATAAATATATAAAGAATGTAAAATCTGCAACTGAAGGTTGTGTGACAGATGAATAAATTTGAATAACTGTCAAACCAGCGTTATACTGTAAAAGTCGGTACAAGTGGTGAATTCCACTCCCTCCTCGCTTCACTTTCTGATGCCGGATCAATTTTCTTTGAATGATAAAAAGCAACAATGTTGTTGGTAGTAAATGAAACGAGTTCTGCAAAAAGGCTAACTCGTGAAATTATTGCTATTGGAATATTACTCGATACGGGTTACAATTCAAGCGGTACGACTTACGTTAAGATCACGTAATTTTCGACAAGAATCAACTCGTTTTGTTAATGCATGATTTATCCAATGTACATGCAGATAAAAATCTAATTTCACAGTGTCTGTCTGATGCCTCAAGTTTCTCGATAGTTATAATGACAATTTTCATTATAACCACGGACAATATAATGACAATGTTAGAGTATATTCTAACACATTCCTTTCATAATAATAAAATGTGCGGGTTACACTTTACTATTCGTATTACATTAGGTAATAAAGATAATAATATCCCGTGGCGATCATTGAATTAAGGTTTACCCAAAAAGAGAATTTAATCACATGATTTAAACGTGTTAAAATAGATCTTCGAATCACAAGATATCGTACCACTAGTATATCCAATCATACCATTCCGCAACAGTTGGGCATTTTCAGACTGCGACATTCCATCGTGCACAGCAAAATCACTTTGACTTCTCCTCTCGACTCTACGAATAGCCATTTCAATAGAATATGATCGAAATAATCTGCAACGACCGTCTCGGAAAGAAAGTTCGTGTAAAGTGCGAGTAAGTAACCAAGTTCCACTTTACATAACTTGCTGTATGCGTAAGAACATAAACTGCGTTATTCATATATTAACATGCGCTGTTGCAGACCTACTGACACTATAGGCCATTTGAAGAAACTTATTGCAGCGCAAACTGGTACGAATGCAGCTAAAATTGTGCTAAAGAAATGGTAAAGTATTGCGTTGTCTTTTTGTAATCGATACTGCTGCATGATAGATAGCATGTCATACGTATAAGCCATCAATGTTTTCATATTATTGGCTTATGTTCTGTCCTTCTCACCACGTGTATTATTTTTTTTTACATAGGTACACCGTATATAAAGACCATATCACATTAGAGGATTGTAAGTTCCCTGTCTAATCATGTTTGGGTATTAGTTCTGCCTCTTATTAACATCATCCGTTGCGCTACAGATGAAATCAATGACGGAATGAATCTTGAACTCTATTACGCATAACTATTGCTGCTATGGAGTTCATTATGTCAGAAAATTATGTCACCAGTTCTTTCATACCTATTGGAATTATTGCGTGATTTCAACCTTACGACCATTCCGCTCGCTAATTCAGTGAGTCGAGTTTATTAAGCAGTTGGTGCAAATAAATTGCAAATAGTTTATAGACTTCTATAATTTATTCAATTGTTATTTGATCAAAGCGAGTGATTCACACGCTCAATCCAAATACGTTAACAATTACATACATACTATTCATTTCATGCCGATAAGAGGCGCTATCTGTCAAATCATAAGCATACCTGATTAAAACTCTGAACAGAACCACACAAAAGACGGTCGCAAAGAGTGACTCTCATAACATACTTACCGTCGTGCTTTGGATCCCAATGACAAAGACTTGTAGAGTGTATACCCGCTCCGCTTTTTTGTACGATTGTACAAGTAACTAACGAACGTTATGATCACGTTAGAAAGTATCTCCTGGGAATACTTGGCATCCGTGGATCTCACCATCTGAACTTACCTATGTATTTAAACGCCTTCCCCAATGCGATCAGCTTTTCCAAACATCCGTTTACAATTTTGACATTCCATTCTGCCGCTCTCGTATGTATGTACAGCGAATCTCCCATGATGTCATTTATAGTCTACGAACAAAATATTAGATACATCTAAAAAAGACCGAACATAGTACTTTGTCTTGCATTACGCTGTATTCACCTCTTTAATGATAACTTTGACCTTTTCAATATCAAAAAATCTTTTAGAGTCACCAAATTCAGAATCGATGGATGATGTCTTGGAATGTCTATGGAATGTAGTAACGCCGTCCTCAAAAGAAGAGTGTTTGCTATGTCTGAGATGTGATAGCGAACTTATTGGTGAATCGGCAGCAATGTCTGTTTTCATTGACTGTAAGATTAAAGAAATTGTCAGGAATAACACATTGTTAAAGTAATGGGGGCTATCTCAAATATGCATGTCCCTGTTACTTAGATATTATTAACTACAAGTAAAATATCTGATAATGAAGGTATGGGTTGTGTAAAAAATCAGATAATCATAAAACCAAAGATTCGAAAGTACCTCTTGATTCTCGGTAGGATAGCCTTCTTCCATTTCGTAATATGATACGATACAAGAGAGCGTGAAGATGGCCAAGAGCTGCTTCACCTCATGCTAGCGTTGTACATGGATCGGCGGTTTACTTTCCCTTATCACATGATTATAGTCAGGGGTTTTTATTATTCACACGATCAGAGATCAAGCAACCTGGTCACATCTTAATCGTGTGTCGAACGCGCATATGATCAATTGGTCTAGCTTTTGTCTTAGTTCCAAAGACCGTTGCTGGCAGTTAATGCCTCACATTTCATAAACGACAATAATCCCAATTTGGAACTTTGGCCCAAATCTCTTATTTGTCATGCATGGCACTCGTTATATTGCATAACAGTTGGAATCTGCCTTATATTAACAATCATTGACAATATCAGCGAAAAAGCGCATTCTGATTTTTGCGAGAAAATTTTTGCTATCTAGTTAATAATATGTTGTAAAACGAGACTGAGGTGGCAAAAAGCCCGCGCAGTTGAACCGTAAACATCTTGATCATCTTCTGGTGTATTATCAATCCCTTTCAAACGATGAGAAGCGGAAGAATGTCTATTCATTATTCAATTCATAATATTTTCTTTAAATAACAATAATAATGTAAATGCGGCTGGTTGAGTTGATTCAAAGAAATTTAGGCAAAAATAACGCGTATAACGAAATTAATCTTTACACAACGTTTTATTCCTTCTGCGCAGCTGTGTTACTAGTAATTCGTTATTTCGCGTGACACTTGAGTTTTTAAACCGGTAATTTAAGAATGCTGCATAGATTATCGTTTAATTCTAGTAGCGTCAAGGCAAAAACGTATACAGTATACAGTGAATGCGCGATATATTTAATACGTAATTTACGTTTATATTAACACAAAAGCTGTTAACAGTTGAGAATTTATTCGTGCAAAACTTAATTTAATGAAATAAAGTAGCGTAATAATGATACAACTATTATTTAACAATTAGAGAAAATAAACATAGTTGCGATTATACATGTAAATTGTTTATGGTTTCACTGTAGTTTTACCGTATGCATATGAAGTACTATTATAAGTTTCGGTTGTTTTGTCAAAATAAGAATTGAACTAATAGTTATCGCCCTGAAGGGTATGGCTATCATTGGAAACCTTCCCCCAGAGTATAGGAGGCAGCTGTGTTAGTTGTGAGTTGTCTGCCAGTTTTAAAAAAACTCATAACTGTTGGTTTACAGTATTAATTGATAAATTTAAAAGCCACTATGTACAGTGAACGGTAAATCAAGTATTTACAATTAGAGGTACGACGGAAATCTGCACTGCAATACGACGTTGATTTGACACTGATACGTGTATTAAACTTTTAAACTAATTAACGTAGCCTTCCCGGTGGTAGAAGAGATCCCGAAGATAAAGACACAGCGCAGAGCGTCGTACAAGGAAATTAATATTCTTCCATCAGAAATTCTGTTCCAGCATGCTGCAATCCCAAGCGTAAATAAATCCCTAATAGTTAATCCTACTGTATGTAGGCTATATAAAACGACCTGTCGATATCGGTGATATAAAATACAACTACAATGAGGTATCCGGTGTGTTCACACTTACTCTGGGCGACCTATTGAATCCAGCTAATAGAACAAGAAAGAGATTTAGGGACACAAATTATTATTGTACTGTAAGTACAGTATTAGTATGGGAGAAAATGTGTACGAATCGATTTTTGACCATCATAATCATTTAATCAATTGCAGACATTCCAAACACCATCGTGGATTTATTGGCATTGAAATATTAATACGGGTCTGACTGCACTTATAATTAATGATACGTCATGCATTTCTATTATCTAATATCATTCATATTGAGAAGAATATGTGAGTCATGAATTCATTAATCTTTCATTATATGCTTGGCAAATCGGTCATCTTTTAATTGTATTAATATGTTGACCAACTATTGAATTAATATTTTTAATTTCACTCGTTGAACAATGAGAGAAAATTATCAATTATTTTAATATTTGCATTCTCAGTAATATAAGACGGCAATGACGCATTCCCTGGTCGCACTACGATGACTACTTGTAGCCCAGCCGCTTCAGCTGCAACAGCCTCTAAAAGTGCGCGTATGCGTGTGTGTGTATGTGTGTGTGGGGGAGGGTTAATAGTAATAGTCTTCATTGTTATGGTGGTGTTTGTAAACTGTTATTATGACAAATTCTTTATAAACTATTAAATTTACCTTGGGCACTATCAGTAAGAAAGATGATGTCCTTTGTTTGTTCTCCAATGGATTTTGCAATATTCATATAACTCTCATTTTTGATTTTGGGTCCAATATTAGTGTCAAAATGACCAGAAATATACTGTTTTCAAAACAATTTAGACTGATGAATTGTCCAGACTTAAAGTCATTGATTGATAGAAATTGACACATACCTCTAGAAGATTACCTTGGTTTGAATGGCTAAACAATAACTTCTGTGCTTGTACACTTCCTGATGAGTAGATGTAGATTTTGCAACCCATATGTTTCCATTTATGAAACGCTTCAACAACGTCGTCATAAATACTAGGCATAACAGTAATTATAATATATTAGCTATTAGTATAACAAGATGATTGACATAATGCATCTCAGTACATACATTCCTTTCAGGTCTCCTGTTTGATATCCACTCTTCCACATATAACCCTGGAATGATTTCAAGGCTCCGATCTTACGATCCTGTTTCATTTGCCATTTAATATTGTAAATCACTGCTGCTTGCATATCTTCTGAGGAACTGCTTTTACATAATTTTTGTAAGATTGCAAGTATGTCTTGAAGACTGTCGTTAGTACTAAGCACTTACATATCAGCATTCTTATCTGGAATCAGTTTCGCATCCGGAATACCATCTTTCACATCAATGGAAGCCTGTCATAAATTAATGTCGTGAGACTTTTGCATAACCCATACTCTTTATCTTTACTGTCAACCAATATTCAATGGCCGGTCAGAAATCTACCTGATTTCTCAGGAGATCGATTTGCTCGTTTAATTCCGGTCTATCCCAGTTCTCTTTTAAAAAATTTTCAATGTTATTTGTAACGTATGGGAACTGAAACAATCGATTTGATATTAAATGAGATTGTATGAGCAAGAATTAGAGTAAAAAATAGCGATCAAAATATGGGAATAGTCTTAGTATACCAGAGTATCATGTACAAAAGAAATTGGAGTCGTGGTTCCTTCAATGTCTAGGATAACAGCAGCGTATGATTGCATGATGAGTTGTAAACTAAATTATAGTCCGAGGCAAACAAGTCAAGATTTCCGTAAAGTAGTCATGTGACTTCCAAGGTATTGACTCTGCCGCCATATGCAAGTTAACACGATTCACGCGCATTGATATTGAATTGAATTGCAATTCATATATGTTACTGACTGTTCGTCACCCAAAAGGCATATAGTATGAATATGTATATATACAATTATTGAATAATTTAGCGATTAATTACCTTCATTATTCAGGAGGTAAGGGTAACGCACACAACGGTTGTCAACAAAAACACGAAGCTCATTTCCCTTGTCGTTTTTCGCGAGTATCATAATTTTAAAATTAGCGGAATTATTATTTTTTGAAAAATTAGATTTTTTTAATCGAATATGAAAGTGAATCCTGGTTAAATAATATAAAGAAAGACACTCTTGGACGAAGTGATCGTCTTATGCTTGTTACTTGGATAAACGTGAGAGCGTTCAACGTCTTCTGAACGCAATCCGCATATGACCTATAATGAATGCAGTATTAGGTAATGGGATGAGTACCAGCATTCCCTTCAGAGAATTCCCAAATGCTCAATGGGGGGGAATGCGCACTATTATCATAGAAACAAGCGTCATGTACTATGATTATGTTTCATACAACATAAATTAACCAAACACGAATTAGCATCCGATACATTATTGTAGAGCAGGTTTATATCCGAGTCATTACGCCACACTATCCATTTTTCTTGACAATATTATTGCGATTTTTTGAATATCTAACCAAGATTTAAACTTGTTACAAACCTAAATCAACTATTGTACAACGTCATGTATACTAACACAAGCTCTTCCAAATTTACCTTTTCATAATCTCGGCCCTTCACAATACTCGCATAATTTCATAGCAAATGTTTCTTTAATCTTTAATCAAAACTCTCTTGAGAATATGTGCATCTGGCGGCTCTATTCTCTTATAATACCCTTCACGGGTGCCAACAATTTCAAAATCGTTTCTCTTGTAAAATGCAAGTGCCTCGTCATTCGATGTCTGAACGTGCAAATATATTTCGACAAATTTTGGTGTTTGTGACGGAAGAGTCGCATGATGAAGAATGTGATTCAGTAATGTAGTGCCTTGAAGCGATCGTGATGAGAAAATTAGTACGAAATGCAACAAAATGCTAGATGCGCATTGTACTGAAATCTTTTGAATGAAAATTATTCGAAAAATATATACCTATACCAAGGTGTCTGTAGGGAGCGAGTACCCCAAGTGTCATTATGTACAAATTGGCCCGATAAGGAGAATTTGGAATGGGTTCTTTACGACAGCAGACAGCTCCAACGCAGGCGTCATTGAAGTATGCTGACGTAAGTAAAGTTAATGAGTTGTTAATACCATTCTACAAGAGGAAATGCAGATGGTAGGAGTCTATAACGAAAAATCTTATTATTATCAAGCAATTCACGTGAACGACATTCACTTTACAATTCTGACGCGTTCCCAAAACACTTGTGTTGCTTATGTTCCCTGGCCACTCTTTTTCCTCCCTAATACGCTCATTCGAGACTCTCTCCTTACTAGTCAAGACTACGAAATCGAACCTACCAAGTTTGGCAAACTCTCCGACTTCAAGTACATTCTTATAGAACTGTTCGCTGTATGCTACCGGAAATATGACCGAGTTCAATCTTTTCAACTGTCCAATGTTATTAGGCGTCACTTCGCCGAGATCTATTCTTTGGTATGTTACTTTTAATTTTTTCACATTGTCAGGAGATTGTTCTGTTTGAGCATCCATTGAAGGCATCGTGATATTCAAGAAATGGCGGTGGATTTTTTTCTTTTTGGTCTTTACATATCACGTATGTAAGATATTATTGGATAGTAATAGTAAGTGATTTTTTGTGTAACCTAATGTCTACGAAGATGTTAATATATAGATCGCGACAATATCAAGTTATTATTTGTATTTCTGTTTCAAGTCTATCTATCATTCGTCTGAACGTTGTCGCATTAGAGTCCTAATGTACCATTTATACCGTTCTATCATTATATGCTACATGACGGTGGTTGACCGTGAGAGGCAATGTTTTTATATGAACTTGGTTGCTGTAGATATCATGTAAGCCACAAGATACTAGCATAACACACAAATGCAAACTTGATCGAACATGGTTACTTAGAGTTGGATTCCATATCTACCGAGATGGGCTGTTTAGCGAATATGATTCAATATTATCAACAACCTCCTCTCTGTATTTCTTATCTATACAAATAGAGTTAATTTATTTCATCCTTTCAACTCTACATTATCTAACTTTCTTCTGCACAACTTTCTCTAGTCTCTCCTTGTCCTGGTTAAACAGCCAAACTATTACAAACACGAACCATCCTATTATCATTGACACGGCGCTCACGTAATATGGATATGCCGCACTCAAGAATCTCGGATATTCATTGTGTCTAAATGGCCTTATCGCTATTGTAGTCCGATCTTCAATGTAAGTGTATCCTGGTCGCTTATAATTGACTTTGAAAGTGAACACACCATAAACGTCAGGCAGCTTCAATTGCGCCCCGAATTTACGCGAATTCTGAGTAGGTAATGTTGGGAGAGGGTCGAGAGTTGTGCGTATGTAGGGATCAAGCATTATGATTTCCAACTGGACATCAGTTGCATTGAATGCTTGCCAGTTGTCGGAATATTCGGAAATCTCGATAGAGTATTGCTACATTGACAATATGAATTAATTATCCTCAAATTTCAGTTGGCCAAAACAGCACTGACGGAAAATGAGGACATGCAAAAAGAAAACGAACTTACCACATCATCTTTAATGCGATATGTATGCTGCTGCTCATGCTCACCTTCTTTGTGAATTTCTCGTGAGATAACACGTAAAATACCCTTTTCTTGGAAAGTCCATTTAGTTAGTTCTCGTAGGAAAGCTTCATTCCCTGACTTGGCATACCTATTCACAGCGACAAAAACCAATTAATAACCGAACAGTTTAATTACAAAAGATATGTTGGTAATAACTTACGACGAAGGCGAATCTCTTTTTTTCACAGACGCGTTAATTAACCTATTGTGACGCAAAAGTATGGTAATTAGTTCAACGGAATATAAGTCAATGCCATTTTAACCAATAAATGGTCTCTTCTCCTCGACTTCTTTTTTCCCATCCTCTTTCTGTAATTTGCCTGCTATCCTCGACGCGCGCCATTTAAACCGGAAACTCACTCATCCCGAAACATGTCCAGACTTCCAACGAAAGTTACCCTGGCACTATTCCTTGCTTGCATAGCAGTCACCAATCCGACAGCTCTTCCGTACAAAAGCTGCTCACCATCGTCAGCTTGCATTTTCATCCCTAAATCGTATGAATAGGCCGTATCTCCAGCCCATGCAATTTTCACCAACATTGGGCTCGATCCTGCTTTATGTCCTATTCCTTTGTATAATAATGGTGTTCCTTCTTTGACTTCCTTTCCGATAACAACGTTATTATCAGTTATGTCTTCCTTGTCTACGACAATCAGAGTGTGATTTCCGTTATCCGATTCGTCGTAATTAAAATGATCGATGACCATAGTATCTTTCTCGTCGAATTCTATATCAAATTCTCTAGCAAAATCACGCCACGTTTCTGAGACATCAGAAGAAGCTGCGAGAAGAATATTTCCCCCGGCATTGATAAAAGAGACAAGAGCAGTTGGAGAGAGAGTTGACGGATAAGTTTTCGTCTTTGGTGAAAATATGATCACATGATCATATGACCGTAGGGAGTTATGGAAGAGATCAAGGAAGGGAGTTGATGGGATTGAGTAGGTCAAAGTGTATCCACGAGCTAATGAAATTGTTAGGAAAATAAAAATATGGGCAAACAGTATAACGACAGTTATAAGAATTAGCGCGCGCGAGCTTCAATTGATCAAAATTAGTACAGACCAATGCAATAAAATAGCGCAATGCGGTGGCGGTACAAATAAACAACAGCAAGAAATCGAAAGGATGAAATCATTTTCGTCGTGACTCGCATATGAAAGTATTCATATTTGCGAGTTAACTAACCTTCAAGATTTCCAAAAAATATTCCATATAAAGGTTTCTCCTCTATCGAATCAAGCAGTACCAACACTCTATTTCCAGTTGTAGATCTACCTTCAGCAGATCGTAAAGTTAGCAAAAGTAAAAGGAGGAACAAAATCCAGACATTACGCATAGTTGGGCAGTTCTGTTTTTGCGAGAATAATTTCCAAGTCTCTGCCCTAATGAATTTCTTCACAAAAAAATCTGGCCAATACGAGTTTGCCAGAGCATTGGTGTGTAACCTTTGCCAAGAACTGCAGAAGTTCGTGTAGTTTCGACGAAAACGGTAGATACAGCATTTTTGCAAGAAGCTCACCAGTATTATTGATGAATTGATAGTCACAAGCAGTCTCCACACAATAAACTTGGACCGCATTGAAAATTTATCTGTTCGCTATTACTGCAGAGCTTTATTTAATTAACTTAACGACTTTTATCGTGAAATTCTTCTACACGTGTCAACCAGTCCTTGTTGTGAAAGTAGAAATAATGCATCATCGCCTTTATATTTGAAGTGATGTAATTTAGCTCACGCCCCGATTATAAATTGGCTAAGAGTCCATATACAAGTATAATGGAAGCCCCGTACGAAAAAGAAAAAGACTTCATAGTAATACATAAGTTTTAGTTTACAGTATATCTATAAATCTTCTATAAGCTATATTGTGAATTATTATTCAGACGTAGGAACAGCCATCTGATGGACTTCACTGCCAAATAACCGAGTAGATATAACACATACATCCCCCATGCACATATTAATATTATAACCATGGTCTGAATGTGTCTATCCAAAGCACCCGGCATTAGAATGAAAAAAACAATACTAAATATTACATTGAAGAGGGTCTGAATAAGAAATGAAAATATCCAAAAACTTTTGTCTGCATCAAAGTTGGCCTGTCCTGTCCAAGTCCAGATTATCAGAACGTATGCCTCCCTCCCTGTTGGATAATGAGAATGACAATGAGGCCCACACGGCAAGCCTGTAATAATAGCTAATGGGATCCATGTTTTTACGTACCTAATATTATGCCCCCAATATGTCGTATGGTAGTCTTAAACGTATACGTCCATAGACAACGTACTACAAAAACGACCCTAAACAAACATTCGATTATCAATGCCGTTATGACACAGCATTTCAATCTATGAATATTTCTTGATAGTCCGTCATCCGGTTGTCCATTAGATTCCTGTAATATTGCCAGTGTGGGGACATTAAACATATGATGTCACTGACGGAAGATTGTTAAAACAAAAAGCCATATGCATCAATACGTCACTTACATGATACAACAGAAACATAGTACCGAGTACAACATGAAAGACGTTCATACCACATGTCAACGCTCCCCAAACAACATTCACCAAGGCAATCCACCCGTGCAAACTCTTCGTCCGTATATTCAAGCCTCGAATTCTACTCCTCCTTCGCAGTCCCCGTCTCTCTTCCATAGTCTTCTCCATTCCATGTTCGATCTCTTCTTCCCTCCTGTCATCCTCCTCCAAATCCTTCACCAACGCTTCAAGATCACTAGCAAGAATATCAGATTCGGATATCGAACTTCGCAAATTATGCACTAACGTATCATCTTGTGCCTCGTCCAGCAGCGACACTCGAGCTGGTTCAGTAGGAGTTAAACTGTGTATTGCAGCCTGGAAATTTGAGTAAATGAATTCTGGGCGCTTGGGTGTTTGTGATTTCCCACTCATGTGTAAATTTGATGGGGGTGCAGGTAGGTTGGATTCTTCCTCCCCTCCCCCTGAGGGATGAAATAAAAAGTTGCTTCACGATCTGCGGTAGTTGCGGGCATGTGACTTGTGAGAATGTAATCCATTTTCTTTGGGGTAACAATGCGACAATGGAATTTGAAACACAGCACAACTAGAGACGGTCGTTTTAGAGTTCACTTTTGAGAGATCATGGTAACATCCAGACTTTACATAATGTCTTTACCTGGGATTTTGTTCCGTATAATAATAATACAAAATTTTCCAGTATCTTGTTATGGTTATAGCATAAGTCTCGTGAGTATGATATGGAAATCACATTCCCAAAGTTGTCACATCATAATAGGCGCTTAACCATTGTCTTTACAACAACGTGCATGCCGTATCAAAAAATGTACTATTTGCTTTCCCTCTCTCCTGCTCTCGTTCACACTCAATTATGATGAAGCAAAATCAACCACTCGAGTTTACTAATAAAGACAAAAGTAAGACTGATGCGAATAGTAATAGGCATAATGTTGTGTTGCTAATACCAACAGAATTTTTCAAACAACAAAAGAACTGTTCTCGACTTCTCTATAGCATCCAACATACCCCGATGGTAAGTATGTAACAATAGTAATAGCGGGAAGATATTGTGTTGGAAAATCGACTATAATACAATTGTTATAAGTTCGAATAGCGTTTATTTCGCGTTTTGCTTTACTGATATTTAATTTTTGCAGTAGAGTAGCTAAAGCAGAGCAATTTTGCAATTTCATTGGTTGACGTACGAATTTGACCAATGTAATTGCAAATTTGGTCTGATGGTGGAGGTACTGATGCGAGCACTGATTCTACAAGAGTTACTAGAATTGGGTTACAATGGGAAATGATAACCTCTGGTCATCTCCAAATATGGAGCTTATGAAAATTGATATCCAGCTGCTTCATTTTTGTTATATGTGAAATTGATGACGGTGTTGAACCTCAGTTAGGGACTTATCTCAGTTCTGGACTGAGACAGCTGAGTGCTGAACTGAGGCAACTACGGTAAGTTCTTGAGACATGTTCCGAACTCAGACATAACAATACCAATCAAAGAATGGCCGATGAAATGATTTTAATTGAAAGGCGAAACAATATTGTTCTTCTTAAATAATTTCTTCGATTAATGAAGTCATTTTTTTTGTCGCTAAGATTGACTTATTCTAAAAGGGGTTGAGTTGAAATTAGCACTATCAGCTATACAGCGTTAATATTATTAGCAGCTCAAGTAGTGAATATCTATCCCAGCAATTGGTTTTAGCTGACGCCCACAATTGAAGCACATACGAATTTTATATAGAAAAACAGCAAATATTTTGGTCATTTCCCCGACAGAAGCAAAGCTCGGGCGCGTTGAGAGCTAAGTTGAGAATATGGTCGATCACTAATTGGAAAAAACTCTCTCCAAATGAGCGCATACGACGATAGATTAAATCTAGTTAGAAGGATGCGTACTTATTTTTGCTATGTATTAGATTAGAAAATCAAGATAGATTATTTAGTTCACAAAACCGGCACATTTTATTGCTTACATAGGTCCAAACTAAAAATTTTCAATTTATTGATTTCTACCGTATGCTAACGAATTTTACATAAAGTAATAAACTGAATATATACTAACTAATTTAGTGATTGCATAACTTCTTAGTTTACAACTTGTCTATATCCAATTACAATATACACCGATTTAAGCGTGTAAATAATTTTATTTATAATTAAAATTGGTCAGAACTTTACTATATTTACATTTTTCTAAGGCATTTTACATTAAAGCCAACAACAACAACAACAACAACAACAACAACAACAAATGCATGCATTGCCTGAAATGTACTCCTATTTGCAACTATACAAATTTAAAAAATTTTTTTACTTCAACAAGGGTAATAATAAGTAGCTAATTGTTTTAACCGAGATTCTAGTATCTAGGACAACAGGAATAGTATACTTTGACCATAAGAGCAAATCCTTGATTGATTGCTAATGGATTAAGTTTACGCGACTGTCGATTAATTAGATTTACAGAAAACATCGACCGTAAGCCTTTGTTATAAATTTCCACAGAGTTCGGTTACGTTTTTTCAATCGCTGGTGGCTTGTCATGCACAATATATGTAATTAAATTTCTTTGTGCTCAAAGATTATGTTTAACTTATCGGTTAGGGTATAGAACATGTAATCAAAATGTGGAATTTCTCAGTTCATCAGAAATACACACACACACGCACACACACATATATATACTGTATATATATATGTACAGTATGTATCAAAAACAAATGTCTTATGCACTTCGTTATTGTGGCCTTCTCTTGCCCCTCACATCCAGTTTTAATTTCCTTGCACTGTTTTTAATTACATTCACTCGACCACTTACTGTCTTATCTGATAAATTCATTAAATTTAAATAACCTTATTTTAATTCTCTGTATTATAATTATATCGCAAATGCAATATCAACTTTTGAATTTTATACAAACTGCTTGCTTTACATACGTGCTTTACATAACAGTCTAGTCTGATTTTGCATATGCCTAATAAAAAATTTGACCATATTCTCAATTTTCATAATATCTAGTTTTACAATATCCATGTGAAAACGGCAAATGTAATTACAACAAACGGTTTGAACGCCATAAAACCCCATATAACAATTCCACTCAAATAAATATTTTGTGCTGCTGCATCTTTCGCACCTCTTGCGGCATCACTATCGCCAAACCATATTGCAATTCCCGCAATCAACGTATAAATCAGATAGAGAACATGGTATAGGAATAGAAAGCGGTAATACGGACTAACTATTTTGGATATGTCAGCCATGAGAAGTTGATAAAAGTAATCAGCTCCGCCTATGTAGAGAATAGTCGAAAATAAGTATATTACATGGCAAATTATTTTTACACTACACTAAACAACTCAAATACTTGCCGAAAAACATCCCCAGACTGTTGATCGCCGCAAATTTTCTTGAGAAACATCTCCAAAGTACAAAAACTAGTAATGTTCTGAACATAATCTCTAAGACCAGGGACGCAATCAACCATCCTCGAATGTGAATCAAATTCCCCGAGCCCTGTAATTTTTCGCTTTTAGTTAGAACGTGATGGAAAATATTGCTTGCAACGTTAATATCGATGGAAACTCCTCCAAATCGGTTAACATGCGTCTCCTAGCCACTCATTCTCACCTCACGATAACTATAAGCAAGTAGATACCAAAGTATTATAAAAACATATATATTGAAAACAGTGTAAAGAAAGTGAACTGTCGTTTGTGTGATCATCACCGTTCTGGATGGTGGTTTTCTCACATATGGTTGCTTTGTATTATCGTTTTCCTGGTCTTCATTCGCAACACCTCTAGACGATCCGGTCGGAGTCATGGAGATTCCATCTCCATCGTTATTGTCTCCACGACCGAAATGAGCGTTATATAGCGCCTCATCCATTAGTAAAAATCAATATTTTGCAATATGTCTGAACAATGGAAATGATGATAGGAATTCGGGTGTTGTATGTAACAATTAACGGCAAGTGGTGATAACAAAACAATAATGGCAAGGATAGTATTTAATTAAGGACAGTGTTATTTCTCTAGTATTATATTAACAATGTTGTTTCTTGGTTCGATATTGGTGACAATGTGATCAAACACCAATCGTATCAACAATGATATGGTTCAGAACAGTCGTAACAATTGTGATGTCGATACCTGGTTACTTATTCTACAACTCAATAGTGTAAAATTGTTCAATGAATGGCCATAACGAGTGTGGGGGAGAGAAAAAGAAACAAGAAACGAGATGGGGGGTGTTTGCTAATTATCACATCTATTTAAAAGTTTTCAGATAACAAAGTTTATCCTTTATCCAAGCATATTTCCTCCTTGTATTATAATTTACAGTTATGCGACATCAACTAATAAAGTTTGATGATAGAACCTCCTAATATGGTATTCCAAGATCACCAGGACCCAGGATATCAGAGATAAGTTTTGGGGTTTTTAGACGCTAACCCGAATCATCATATTTTGTACAACGACAGGGGTCGTACGTTTAAGAATTATCGTTCCCAAAATTTGACGTCTTGGGTTTGGGGTCAACCCACTTGCTCACCACAAACTCACTCGGGCATGAAAACTTGTGTTGAACAGGGGGAAGGGAGAAGAATAAAATCTAGTTGGGGATGCGATTTAGGACTCGGATATATTCGAAGTTTAACAATAATATTGAACCTTTGGAAGGAAACTTTATTTCAGTTTTCACAAAGAACCAGCGTTTGGGGATGCATAGGCTGTTGTGCAATTCGGCAAATAATTGTAAAGGCTGTCGTGTAATTTGTCATGATAACCATGAGGCTTGCTATAAACGTTTTTAGAAAGGACTCGGTAAATGCTGTAGAACCCAAGGGGGAGATGTCGAATGCGCAAAATGGAAACTAAAAACTGTGAACGAGATTTGTCTTCAAAAAAAAAAAAGATTGTTTCAATGCAAAGCTTAACACATTATGTCATCAGTTACTTGAACTCCAATCATGTGTTGAGCACACATTCTCTAATTCGGATATGCCCCTATAGGAACACGATGCGGCGTCACGAACATGTAGCTAGTTATTGGCTGCTACAAATTACTTAACGTAATTAAATAGGTTATCAAAGGTGCAAATGATCAGCCAATGGCCTATATCACTAATGTAAAGCCAAAGTCCAAGTCCTTTGCTTCTTGCAATTCTCTAGCATCATGGCTTATCACATTCGCACTCACTCGGTTGCTATGAGTGAAAACAGTGGCGATGCAGAGATGTGTAAAGATAATATAGATGAAAAGCATATAATAGTTGATGATATCGAAAGTCTGGCAGCTGATAATGAGATAGGATGGAAAGGGCGTCTCGCTTTATTCTACGAGGCACTGTTCTATTACGTATACGCTTTAATTAATACTTATATGCTAATAAGTACTTGCTTGCTGGTGGAGTATAGTACAAAAGAGGTAACTAAACAATCTTCTATATTTATATTTGTGCTATTATTGGTCTATTAACGAAACGACAACACTTTATAACTGCAGTCAATGCAGGACATTAGTGGCGTTAGCAAGATTAAAATTTGGGTTATTTGTTGGCTAGTTGTCGAAACAGTTTCAAGAACTCACATTGTGGTAGTTCTATGGTACTATTGCTCATGGAAGTTTGCCATAGTTAATTCGTTAGGCGGACTGTTAGGTATTCTATCATTTCTGCTTACAAGTGTTTGATGATATATTGCTAATATAAGTACGTTCGGGTTACGGGAACAAACAGGTGGTGCCGATTACTTCATCCCAATATTCAAGAATAGCTCAAGTTTGCACGATGATTTTAAGAAATGGATAACAATAAACTGGTATTTTTATGTTATCTTCAACTATGGTGGAGGGTCCGCAATGTGGCTATATTGCAGAAACTTTGTGAGTGGAACAAATACTAGCATCGTGGGCGTGCTGTTGACCAGTAATATCGCAATTTGGGTGTTCAATTTAATCAAACCGCTTTCAGTAATAATATGGTATCTTGTGTGTATGAATGATGACAATTGACAATGGGGACTGTCGATGGCATGAACGATAGCAAAAACGTCAAGTGTAACTCGATAATACTTATAATTCGATCATCTCAAACACCGCAATCATGTCAGTTATATACTACTTTTAATTTTTAATTGTTTGTCATTGCGACAGTAAGCTTGTAAGTTATTATGTT